GAGGAGCTTTCTCAATTCAAAGAGCAGAGAGTGAGAGAAACAGGTTATAAGGCTGAGTGAGATAAGACACACACTCAGCCTTATAACCTGTATCTCTCACTCTCTGCTCTTTGAATTGAGAAAGCTCCTCGGATGAGGAGCGAAACGTCTTCTGTTACAAATAAAGTCCAGTTGTTTTTGTATCGAACGCTTTTTGAATACAGCAACAGTAATTAGAGCGACAGGTAGGAAGGTACTTTGTGTGTCATCAGGACAGAGAATGGATGATAAAGAAACCTGGTGGTACAATAGTGAAGTGCAGGAAGTTATTCAAAGAGAGAGGTTAGCCAAGAAGAAATATGACAGTGAGAGGACTGAAGAGAGGAGACAGGAATATAAGGAGATGGGACGTAGAGCAAAGAGGCAGGTAGCACAGGCAACACAGAAGGCATATGATGAGTTGTATGGGAGACTGGACACTAAAGAGGGCGAGAAGGACTTGTACCAATTGGCAAGACAGAGGGATCAGGCTGGAAAGGATGTGCAGCAGGTTAGGCTTGTTAAAGATAGGAATGGTAATGTTCTAACAAGTGAGGAGAGTGTGATGGGAAGATGGAAGGAGTACTTTGAGGAACTAATGAATGAAGAGAATGAAAAAGAAAGAAGAGAGGTCATAGAAACTGTGGACCATGAAGTGGGACAGATTAGTGACGGTGAAGTCTGGAAAGCTCTGAAAAGAATGATGGGGAAGGCAGTAGGACCAGATTGGAACTGTCTTGGAGATATGGCAGTGAAGTTTTTGACTCATATATTCAATGGTACATTTGAGGGTGAGAAAATGCCTGAGGAATGGAGAAGAAGTGTGCTAGTGCCCATTTTTAAGAACAAGGGTGTTGTACAGAGTTGTGGCAACTACAGAGGAATTAAGTTGATGAGTCACACAATGAAGATCTGGGAGAGAGTTGTGGAAGCAAGACTTAGATGGGAGGTGACTATCTGAGCAGCAGGATGGTTTCATGCCAAGAAAGAGCACCACAGGTGCCATCTTTGTTTTGAGAATGCTGATGGAGAAGAGAGGGTCAGAAAGAACTCCATTGTGTCTATATGGATTTAGAAAAAGCATATAACAGGGTGCCGAGGGAGGAGGTGTGGTATTGCATGAGGAAATCTGGAGTGGCAGAAAAGTATGTTAGACTGGTACAGGACATGTATGAGGACAGCAGGACAGTGGTGAGATGTAGGAGTGACAGATAGCTTCAAGGTGGAGGTGGGAGTGCATCAAGGATCGGCTCTGAGCCCCTTCTTGTTTGCTCTGGTGATCGACCGATTACTATAAACTGTAATTGTGATTTCTATGACAAGTTTTCAATCATCAGAAGCACTCAGTGCATGCTGTTTCAGGTGGGTGGTCGATGCTAATGTCTAAACAGTGTGCATGTGAAAATATGAAGCAGGATGCATGATGATTCAACAACAACCTATAGATGACAGTTCGGTCTGACTCATTTCATTTTTTCAAACTTTATTAAACAATACCAAAGAAACAGTGCAGGAGTTGCTTCGTCTTGACCTCCATACCGCTAGAGGCGCTGTTCGGCAGCAGTTGTCTTTGAACTCCAACATTTTTCAGTCAGGTCATCTGGACGGTTTCTTTTTTTGTGCTGAAACGTTTCGCCTTCGGTCCGGAAGGCTTCATCAGTCAAGGAAACACAACAAAACTGATTCTTCCCCCAACAGCTTACTCCAAAGTGGAACAAA